GGGTTGGGGGAATTCAAGATCCAAACATTAGCATTCACCATGACCAGTATCCATGAAGGATGAGTCAGAAACTACAAACAGAGAATCAACTTCTGTCTCTTCTGTGTCCTCAATACCCCACAGTGACAAGCACACAGGGGGCATGGTGCATCTTCTGACGTGGAGCAGCGGCAGCACCTTCTAAGTGACCTCACCTTGCAGCTGGTTGGTACATCCCACCTTTCTAAGTGGAGATCATTTCTGTGAATCTCCAATCTCCAAACCTACAAAATGCCTTCCAAGATGAAGATGGAGTTTCTCCACTAGGATTGTTTCTCTCCGGGCCTCTGCTTTGATGTCTTCACATGTTTGATAGAATGCAGCAAAGACTCTCTTATAAAATCCAGATGAAGCCACCTGGGTCTCAAGATACAATTTGAAACTTGGCTGCTGCCTGTGAGCCAAGGAGAAAATATAATATTAACCATAAGAGCACAAAGTTTAATATAGAAAGATGTTCAAGCTTTATAATTACATTCAGATAGGAGCATGCACGCTTTCCAAGAATAACAACCTGCAGCAATGTAGAACATCTCTCAGAAGTAATCCATAGTCATCTCAAATGTCCATCTGGCCATCAACGCTGAGGAAAGTGCTTATTTTGAGTACCTTCTCTTCACTTGGCATGTAGTATGTGTTTTCACCCGCATTTAAAAGCTTGGATTATTGGAACCAGACAGCATAGGATTAGCTTCTTACTAACTGTGATAATAAGCTCATCACTGAAACTCTCTGGGCTTCAGGTGACTTATCTGTAAAACGGGGGTGATGTTAGCATCTGCTCTACAAGACTATTGAGAGAATAAAATGAGTTAATATGCTCGTTACCACATAAAACCATGCATGGTGCGTAGTAAATACTTGGTGAATTGTTGCAGTTATTGTCTCTTTTGCTTTAAAATGCTAGAAAAGAATTAAGCCCTGCCCTTTGGGTTTGTGGAATGAAGAAAGCCACTTTCCAGTGGAAATATTCCAAATAACTGAGGTAAAAACAAAAATGTCTGAACTGGACCCTCTGTCCCTCTGTTCCAAGAGCTCAAAGCCATTGCAAAAGACACGTGGACAGAGTGGAGGGCATTTTTAGAAAACATATCTCTCAAAGAGTATTAACAGGGAATTTACCCTCTTTCCAATGTCAGGACACAGTAAAACAAATGTTTGGGCTAGGGGGTCACAAGAGCTAAATGTAAAGGAGCAAACTTAATGCACACCTTGGAGTTTCCAGCTCCCTTTAGCCCTTGGTTTGAAGATGGCTTATGAAACCCGATGGTAATTCCTGAGGTGGTCTTGCACACATTTATATATGTTTAAAAGATGGGGAGTAAATTTTATGTTCCACATCTGTTTCTCTCACTAATCTTTCCAGGGTTTTCAGTTTGCTTAGCCTAGTAGTAAACAATTTATAAACTTTGTGTAAGGATTCACGTTTGGCACACGGCTGTGTTATCTTTGTAAGAGCAAGAGGATGGAGATTGGTAGTAATCAAAAAATAGCTATTGAAGGGTACAGAGCTGCAGTCATACAAGACGAGCAAGCCCTGGAGATCCACTTCACAGCAGAGCACATGCAGATAACTTTAYTACCCATTTAAAGAATTGCCAGGAGTATAGATCTTAAGTGTTTTTGTTACAAAATAGTAATGAACAAAGCAGGTGAGAGTAAGGCTCTGGAGGAGATGGAGATGTTTATGACAGAGAATGTGCTACATGTTTCACATGTTTGTACTTGACCTCTAAACTCATCAAGTTGTATACATTAAATATGCATAGCTTTTTGTTTGTCACTGATACCTTAAAAAGCTGGTTTTTAAAATATTTATCATTTATAGAGTACTTATGATTGTGTCGGGCCCTGTTCTGATTCTAGGTATCTATGTCTATATCTGACTGACCTCATTTACTCATCTAAGAATCTTTTTAGGTGGCTCTATTAGTGAGACCAATTGGCACTTTTACCTCTGACAAAGGTATCCCAAAATCCAGTGGAGAAGCACAATATGAGCTTATATGTGTCCAACAATGTCCGAGGTGGGTAGGCGGCTCCCCAGGCAGCAATCTGCTAAGGGATGCCTCAACTTGGAGGTTCCTTCTACACCTCCTCTGAGTCCTTTTCTTCCTTCCAGGTGGATAGAGGAGATAGAAAGAACAGGGAGCAGGTACCCCAGATCTAAGCTACTTCAACCCAGATGTACCTCACTACTTCTGCTTGAATGGCATGAGCCAGAAATCAACTTTATCCACCAACCTCCCTGGAAGGAAAGTTGGGAAATGTAGATCTAAGCCAATGCTAAAGTATTTGCACAGTTTACCCTCTGGCCACCAAGGGTCCATTTCCTTCTCTCTTCCCCAACACAGAGCAAGTCTAAAACAACCCCTAATGCCATTTGWTCACAGCATTTGTCCCCCAGGCAAGGGCTTCTGGGTTGCAAAGGTCTCTGCATAGTCCAAATGTGACCAGCTCTTGGTCCACTGACCTATGAACTAAAACAGAAATGATCTATGAACAAATCAGGCAAGCCACCTTCCTCTCCCTCCCCCTCCCCCCTCCCCCCTTCCTCCCTCCAATGGGTGCAACAAGATAATCACAATAAATATTCCCATTCAGAATGGCAAATACATGGCAGCCACTGACCCCTGTCTGTCCAGGCAGAGTGAAGGCCTGCTCCTGTGGTGGAGAAGGTCCTAGCCCTGGGTTTGCTCTTGAGGGAAACTCTCTTGAAGGTTGTTCTCTGCAGCTGCCAGTTCCCCTGGAAGTCCATGCCCTGCTCCCCTTGGCCACCATGGATGGGCATGTCAGGGAGCATCCTCCACATTCCCACAACACACCTCCTGCTGGTGGAAAAAGCTGTTTTGGGTCTTGAAAGACATTTTGAGTACAGGCTTACAGGAATTGTGAGCAATACAGTTTTATCAATGTAGATGTTCAGCCCCTCAAGGAACTGGTAGGTTCCTATAAGTCATCAAATGCCCTCTCTCCCTATTTCTATTCCTGTTTATAATGTAACCATTTCTTTCCTGGGCTTGTCTCACCCTGGAAACACCTTGACAAATGCAGTCACCATAGGCAACCCACACAGCTCATGTTTTCCCCAGCCCCTGCCATGGAGCTCCTGAGTTACTCAGCACATGTCTCCTTTTGAGCTGTCATGACTGTCAAAGCCACCCATTGTTATGCCTCTGTGAAATGTGGAACTCCACCTTTCCAGCCTCTGGATCAGCTCCCTGGCCACTCATCTATGACTATTGGGCCATGGCCACTGAGTGAAGGTTTTGTTAGAGCAGCATTCATACCCATTATCAATATTGGTATTAGTCAGGAAAAGGCATGTTAGCTGCTGTGACAAACATTCCTCAATCTCAGTGATTCATAAAATAGGTCTCGCTAAGTACTTAATACATAGAAAGATGCCTCATTAAAATTTGCTGAATAAATATTTTATGATATATAAGCAAATAGGTTGTTTTGATATATTTAATCTGTTACTGTTAACAAAATCAAGCTTCAAAGAATAAATTCACACATAGAAAGCCATATACTGTAGATCCAGGATCTAGATCCAAACCCATGACAGGTGCTTGGGCCTACAATTCTCTMCTCAGTAGCAGTCAGAGCAAAAGTAGATTCTATCTTATTCTCTGCATTTACAACAAAGAAATCCTAAAGCCTGACCATCTCCCTGTAGTTTTACATCTTTTCTCTCCTTGAATGATTTCAGTCAAAGATATTATATTGCCCACTATCCATTGCATAGTAGTTACTTTAGGTGACTCAAAAAAAAATATAGTGGGAAAGAATCTATAGTTTTTGAAATAATGAGGGTTTGGCCTCAAACTTATTTGTGTAACTTTGTGCAGTGAGTATATTTAATGATTTGCGCCCATGTCAATATTTCTATTCCCTACTGAATGGTCTGTTTATTTAGCCAATGTTTCTATTCACTTAGGGGATTTTATTACTAGCTATTTATTAAGTCTGGCACAGGCAAACATTGTCCTATGATTATTTCTGTGCAAGTKTTGACCTATTAACCACCTCTATTGCATCTACACATATGCAAGCCAAAATTGTCAAAAACTGTTGACTGGTCTGAACATAGGCAATACTTCATTCATTCAATATTTATTGAACACCTATTGTGTAGCAGATACTGAGCAAGATATGTTTGGGGATATACTATTTTTTTAAATAACTTTGTTTATTGACCACACTTCACATTGTTTATAATCTGAATTCACAAACGCTTGTGGTKTGTGGGAGTAAGGCAGTCAAAGAAAAGATGGAAATAGTAACATTTGTAATACATTTACAGACTGAAATGTCRGAAGATTTATTCTGATTAGAGACTGAAATGTCAGAAGTTTTATTCCACCGCACAGAGACAAAACTTGCAAAATAAGCATCCTTCCTAGAATTATGATTCACATATGGAATGAAACTTAACCATAACATCATCTCAAGTACTTTCCTGTTTTATAAAATCATCAGGTACAATTATTTGACATTTTCAAACAGATAAATCAGGGACACGATGCACAGAAATAACTCAGTTAGCACAAAGAAGATATAAACACAGTTTCACTGGTATCTCAGTCTGTGAGTTGAAGCAGGAACTTTCTTAAGTGCTTTATTTTTTTCTTCTTCCAGCAAAATGATGCCATTGGGTCCTTGGGTAACACTTTAAAAGGCAAAAGCAATGTGGAGCATTGGGGCGCAYAGAGCCACCCGTGGGAGAAAGAGTGAGCAGTGTTTAGATACCTGAGACCCTGGCTTTGGATTTGCCTCTGCCTGGGGTCTGCACATGCTGCTTGCTCCTGCTCCTTCCTAACGAGTGTATAGATTGAGCTCTTTGAAATGTGAGTATTATGGGAAGGATCGCAGTTGCTTTAAATTATAGGAGTTGGCAAGTGCCTGGGAGAAGGAGTGGGAGGCTGTTTAAACTGAGGAAGACAGTTGGAAACGCTGTACACCAGCATGAGCGCCACGCTTCAAACGCCTTCCCCTGCTCAGAAGAGCACTTTATTTTTCACCAAGTCGTTTTGGGGGTTGTTTTGGAGCAGCTCTGAGTAATCAGCATATTTCTGCTTTGCATTTTTTTTTTAATGGTTTCTAAATTCATGGGACAACCAACGCAAGAAAGCCTCATGTTTGGGGGAAAAGTTTGATACCAGCAATGCCCAGAAGAGGTAAGCTACCATTTGCATTATAGCTTTTCTCTCACTCTTTCTCTCTCTCTCTCTCTYTTTTTTAATTTTATTTTCCCTCCTCTTTGGGTTTGGTCGAAATATTTACTGGAAGGACTTGAAATAGCTACTTGTAAAGAAGTGAGGGAACTTAAAGAAAGAATGTCAACAAATGATAAATCAGAGGTCGGAAAACCTCAGCAGCGATGCTTTCTCCTACTTTCTATTCTGCTTGATGCGTGAATCTCTGTGAAATATCTTTGACTATTTGGAAATGCCACTTCTTTTAGAAAATGCTGGGAGAGGGTCTCCAAAGTCTCCCATCTATGATAGACCTAGTGTTGGTCAGTGCAGCGATGGGCTGATTTAGGTGGAGGTCAGAGCATCTATGTTTTCTTATCCCATATGTACAGCTCAACTTCCGGAGCTGATTCCTATAAGTCAGAAAACTTTCCCGTGGATTTTAATATCATTCCTAAACTTCTCTTAACTGTGGTTGTAATGACTTATTATAAACTTGTTTTGTAGCCTATGTCTTTTGAAGTTAAGTAACTCATTTGAATTTTCCTTGTAATGACACGGGAAGATGTTACCGATATTATACATCCTTGGAGGAAAAAAACGAACAAAGAAAAACATATTTAGATTCACTAATTGTTAATTCAAGTCACAGTGGGCCGACAATGTTGTTATCTCTGTAGGGTGGCTTTGCCTTGCCAATTGTGCCTTGTAAACAGGTAGGGAGCAGACAGCCTCAGACATTTCCTTGTCTTTCTGTGCATCCGTCACAGAAGCAGCATCTGGTGATTTGAGGTGCAGCGGCATTAATTATGGAGTGTGCCGTTTCTACTTGCCCGAGAAACTCTGTTATCAGGGTTCCCATCTTCCCAAGGCAGAATTCCAGGTGTAAAAACCAGATATCCACTGAGATCTACAAATTCTTCTGCAGGCTGAGATTTTTAACAGAGCCCCTCATTGATTCCGCACACACACACATGCGCTCACAGGCAGAGGTTAAAAAGCCCTGTGAGTCTGACCGAGCTCCAGTGGTTTGCCTCAGTCCGCAAAACCCAACTGGTGTAGAAACCTTCCCGGTCAAGGTCCCCAACTGCGGGGGACTGTGGGGGCCGCCCAGGGCCACTGCTCCTGGGCTGTGAAAGGCTCTACCTTCCTGCTGTGCCCGTGGCTGTTGTGTTTCTGGAATATGTTTTCCTTCTGTGTCAAGTTCTGGTTACGTAAGGTGGATTATGGTGGCTTCCCTGCCTTGCGGTCTCAGAGATGAAGGTCAGAGGAAGGACATTCTGTAAAAAAGAAGGCAGTCCCACCAGCTTGTTGCGGGTGGTCAGGGGACACCCTCCATTAAGCTTCTCTCTATCCGTGGTGTTAGTGAATGAAGTAAGGGACCCGCTGCTGCGATCGGTCGCCCTGCTCCTCTGAATTTCCTCTCGTGTCCTCCCACCGTTCCTATCCCTACCGACCCACAGAGAGGGATCCAGGTTGCACAGACAAGATTATTACCCTCGCCTCCTTCCCCAGGCCAGTCGGGGAAGCCCCCACCCTCTCTGGAAGGGGGTCTTCAGGGCCCCACCCATGACCTCATCCCAGGCAGCCGGAGAGCGGGGATGGCCAGCGGTTGCATGGCGCCTGAGCGCACCCTGGGGACGGGTGTGGCCGAGAAACGCACCGTGTGGCATGACGTGGCTTCCCATCACGGGCTCCGGTGGAGGCTGGCGGCATCTCTGGAAGACAAATCCGCCAGGCCCCACCCCTGAGCCCGAAAAGGCCCCAAAGAGGACAAAAACAAAAGGCGATTAGGGTTACTAAGGAAGCCCCAAGCCAGCTGACTCATCCGAGTCACGGGGGCTGTGATGAAACCTGGACAGCGCCCTGGAAAGGACAGGTCAGGGCTCTCCCCCAAAGGGTGCTAGTGACAGAGGCCCAAGTGACCTAATGCACCCTCTGGCCTCAGAGAGGCAGGAAGAGGGAGCAGCGCCTACGAGGGGCACGGGGTGTTGTTAACTACTGAACTGCCGGGCCGAGGCCAGGCCTCTGACCTGCTTTGGATATGCCCCTGCTTAGTCCCGGCTGTGGGCTGCAGAGATCCACGCTGGGGGATAGGAGGGAGACATGCACTTACTTCAGCAATCCTACCCGGGTGTCCACTCTGGAGGAGAGACCTTAGCAAGATTCTTTGAACATGAGTCTCAGCCCAGACAAATTAGATCTCTACAGCAGTGCACAAAGCACCCGAGGACACCAACCAGTGCTGGGCATGTCACCCTGCTGACATCAGGGAGCTTCTCATGGAGTTGTACTTGAGCTAGATCTTGGGGTTGAGCGCCTCCTCATAGAGAGCCATGAGGAGCCAGGGCATCCAGGAAGAGGCTGGTATGCAAAGGCTCAGAGGTGTGAAAATCATGGCTGCTCCAAAGCCAAATTGCATGGGGTGGCAAGGCTCCGTTTCCCAAAGTGAGTGCCAGGGCCCACACTTTCATGGGTTATTATAAGTATTTTCTGGTTAGGCCAATATGGGAATGTAGAAAACTGCACCCGGTGGACCAGAGCCCTGGTTCTGGGTTCAAAATGCCTGAATTCAAATCCAGTGCCCCCGTCTTAACTGCCATGTAAACTCAGACATTCTAGCTTCAATTTCTCCATCTACTAGTGAACATTTCCATCTTCTAGTGGCATTTTAAGGATTAACTTAGAGAATCCCTGTAAGAGCCTATTATCAAGTACCTGGCATATGAGAGCTTAATGGATGTTAGCTGGTTTTGGGATTCAGTGCTTGTTTCTTTGTTGCAGGATCTCTCACACATTCTAGTTGGCTAATGGACCCAATGACTCTCCATGAGTGGGTCATTAGAATCTAATATTTTCCAATTCATTTCACCAGGAATTTTATTTTTTTTTCCAAGTAGCATCCCACAGACCATGATGTGTGCTGGAAAATGGTGAGATCAAATGGGCCCAGTGCATCAAAGCCAAATGTCCTTAAAGAGCACAAAGTTTCCCAAGATCTTATCTGAAATGCACCAATCTTTACCAGCCACTTCACAAATTATCTTTCATATTTCTAAGCTCCAGAGCCTCCTAGAAAATCAACTGTCTTAAAACCATTTTCAACTTTTAGAAGGAAGAGGTGACAGCAAAGTAAATTTTAGTCTGTGATTTCACACTTGAAAAGTTAGCCTTTGTCTCCGGTTTGAGGACCTACTGTCCTCAATGCAAAAGAGAGATACTAGAAGGAAACGTGGTCCTGCTTTCAAGGAGCTGTTGATTGAATGGGGAAAATCAAGCACACCTTCCAATAGCCAAAATGTGACTTTAGATATCACAAGACACGGTGTACACGATGTGAATGGAAATTGAAAGAAGAGACTCCAATTATCGGAATAATCAGTCACATTCTTTGACATCTATCATGTGCAAGGAACTGGGCTGAGTCCTTTACCATGTGATCCATCCATTTAAACCTTACAACCAGACCAGAGGTTGGGAGTGGATTAGTTCATTTCGCAGTTGAGAAAACCTGAGCCCCAAAGACATTGAGTAACCTGCCTGTAGTCTGTCCAAASCAAAGGGGAAGCAAGTTCTCAAGCTTAGGTCCCTCTGATGCTCTGCGTCTACCACCAAGGGAAGACTCCTCCAAGGAGGGAACATGCCAACTGGCTTTGAAGATGAGAAAGGATTGGTGGAAGGTGCAGAGAGAGAGGCATAAGCACCAGAGAGAAGAGCCCAGGGAGACAGGAGAGAGCCCTGGCAGGACAAAGCATGAGTTCAGAGAGTGGGGAAGGGCGAGCTGGAGAGACTCGGTTGGAATGATGAAAGCCTTGAATGCCAAACCACAGGGTTTGGACTTCTTTCATGGAATTATCATTAAAGGTTTGTAAACAAGAAAGTAACATGATGAGAAGGGATGATTAATCTGTTCGCAGCAAGGACAGAGGCTCAACTTCAGTGGGGAGCTAGATGGGTGCCGGCAAGAGACAGCAGCAGCTGCGGCTCTCAGGGCAGTGAATGGAGGAGGGGCASAGTTGGCCCAGTCTCCAAGGCCTTYGCCACCACCAGGGTCTTTCCAAACAACAACCCTGAGGCCTCCCGGAGTCCACCGTCCACGGGGGGCTCAGTTTCGATCCTGTCAATTGGGAGAGGGTGGAGAATGTAGAGTGCCGAAGGGACGAGTTGACCTTTGAGGGCTCTCCCAGCTTTCAAGCCATAAAGATAACATCCTAAATATTTTTATGGAAATCATTAGCTGCACAGTTCCCTATTCCATCACCAGGTTCCAGACTTCTCCTTCATATCAAGCAGGCATGTTTCCAAAACAACTTTAGGGTCTACAAAAAAAGTTTTATGAGTTTACAGCTATAGCAATTACATAATAATGGTATTGGCACGCAGGGACTGGGGGAGGGTGCATTTTAATATACCCCCTCAGGGAGTACTTTTGTCCATCTTCCTAGCCTCTGCCTCTTGCAAAACTCAACTGTCTATCTCAGTGATTAAGAACTCTCCCTGCAGCGTGTACCATATCAGAATTTCACAGTGTCTCAGATGAAAATTATTCTACCTGGGTGTCTTATGACCTCCTGCAGCTTGCAAATGGGTGATAATCTTTCAGGAAATAGGGAAGAGTTCCTCTTAATTCTGCAATGCCTTATACCTGTAGCAGGTCTGAAACTTAACTGACAAACAGGTTTGCAAGAGACAACACATTTCCTTATTTTTCTTAATTCAACTTAATTCTGATTCCAAGAATTTGTGCCAGTAAGAAGAACTTTAGTTTCAGAAATTATTGGTGCTCCTAACTACACAATCCCCAGCATTTGGGTCAGGCACAGATTCTGGGACATCCTCTGCCACATCAATTCTATCTAGTCTTTTTGCCTTTTTGTAAGGAAAGAATCTAATGAAGGAAATAGAGAGGGGAGACAGCTCAACAGGAGCAGGTTATTTGGGACAAACCTGCAGAGGGGGGCCCAGTTGAGACTGAGCCCCAT